AGATGTGTCAATTGAGTCGGTCGTCCTCGGTCTAATTAGCATAATTGAGTCATATTTCTTATTTTAGCTTGGTACCATCTAATTATTTTGAACTAAAATATATTTATCATGCAATTTAGTCTGATAGAATTTTTGGAGTGATGATTATTTTTACTTTTGAATAACAAAACAAAATCATATATATAAAAGTTGGTCAATTCTCTTCATATGAGTGCCACATCATCACACAAGCAAATAACATGTGTCATTTTACATTATTTAAATAAAAAATTAGCAAAACTAAAAAAAAAGGTTTTCTATTGCATTAAATCCTCCATAAATTCTACTCTTAACTTATTTCTTATCAATAAATATAATTAAGCAATAAACATAATTAAGCATGTATTGAATGAACATTTTAAATAAATTATATTTTATAAATTCTATTTAGTTAAACGCTTAGGTGGACGGTGATGTGGATGCTGATGTGGATATGTTAGATGTAAAGAAAACTCTCTCATTATATATATATATAGATTGATGCCCTAAGTGAAAGCTCAAACAACGTTTATGTACGTCTCATCATGTATTTGTCGTTTTGGAACATTTATAAATAATCAGAAAGAAGAAAAGATGAAACGCTGTAAATATTTCTGCTTTACAAACTAGCCGAAGAAACCTTCCATATATAAATTATTACTAAAAGATTTGTTTTTTTTTTTGTTGAAATGAGAAATTTTTACTCACCAAAAAGTAAAATATTTTCATCAAAGAAAATTCTAATGTTTAGATGAAGAAAAATAAAAATAAGTAGGTTAAAATATTTTAGATTGGATGTGGTTTTAGTGAATTTCAAAGATTTTTAGGTGATTTTATAACATTTTTTATTTTAAGAAGGATAGTTTTTTTCTTTAAAATCTTTCCAAATTCCGTGTTTAATAGGTGTGAGTTATTTGTTAATCTTTTTAGCTAAAAATGTATATGAAGTCTCACAAAATCCTTTTATATTCTATACGAATTGCGAATTTTGAATATTCCCCAATTTTATATGATTTATAATAAGTTATTGATTGAATAACAAGAAATTTTGAGTTGTTTTGAGTGATTTTAAGTAATTTAAGTTCAATCAAACTATATTTAGAAAGATTTTTTAAAAATCCATTGATTTCACATGTTCTAAACTGTTCGAAGTTGATTCTTTGCTTAATCGTGTACAAGTGAAATCAGAAGAGAAAGGTGAGAAGAAGATGAAGTGCAGAGAGATGTGTGTCTAAGGAAGAAGAAGAGGCTCGTGTAGAAGAACGAAGAAGAAGAATCGTGAAGGAAAAGAGAGAAAAAAACCAGTGGGCCAGAAGTGAACAAGGCCCAACTAAGTGTGAGTTTTGGTTATTAATAAGACTCTAATTAGGTTAAGTGCAAGTACTATATAAGGGTTGTGTTGTTGTAAGAAAACAATTAAGGAAAGTAAGAAGTAAAGAACCTTAAGCGGCTAGAAACGAGTCTTTCAACATAAACTATGTTTAACACTACAAAATTGGATAATAAATGTTGTGGTTTGGGCCTACGCTGAACAAAAAGTGCACCATAAGGTATATGGTAGTTAAAGAGAACGTAAACAAAACCCAAATTCACAGAGAAGCTTCTTCATCGTTCTTCATCGTCTACGTAGCTTCTCTGTGAATTTGGGTTTTTTTTTTTTATCTTCTCTTCTCCTTTGAGAGATCTAACATTACCAATTCACCATGGCTGCCCAAAACTTGCAGACAATCAATCATTTTGTACTGAACTTCATTGATCCAGGTGCCAATTTCAAATCTCTAACTCTAGTAAAAATAATAGGAGAATCATAATTTTAAATCTTAAAAAAATATTTTAAATATCTATATTATTCATTTTGAAATACTATACAATATATGGATATTTCTTATTTTATAGTTAATATTAAAATCTTTTAAATGTGTTTGGTTATATGGATAGTAAAAAATTAAGTGTACCAATGTTTGGATACATGAAATCAATGACATTCTTTGTAAATAGTTTAGAAAACAAAACGTTCTATCTAAAATGTACTTCAAAACAAAATATGGAAAAAAGATCCCAAAAAAAACATTTAATGGAAAAATGCAATTAGATATTAATTTTGTGATTTGCATTCCCATTGCGAAACTTGGTGAAACTGTTAATCAAAAACCAAGTCCGGTTTAATTCCGGTTTGTGTATAAGAATTTTTAGTTTTTCTTTTTCATCATGCACCAAATCTACAAGAGTGAAGGAGACAAGCAAGGAATTGACAATGAAGATATATTCACATTAAGCTCAGAACAACTTCACTAATCCAAAATTCAAATCTTTACACAATCTTTAAACTTGTTTTCAACAACATCGAGAAGACGAATCATTTACTCGTATTCGAATTGTACCTCAACATGAATGTATTTCCTCATGAGTTGAACAATGGACCATGTGAATGTCGCCAGAATTTGACAATCTCCTTGTGTTTTGGTTTCTGAGACAACCCCATAAATGATCAACTTCTTCAGATTCGGACATCTTCTCAGCAACTCCTCGACCCAGATTGAGAAAACATCGTTGATCACGGTCCATCCGAGCTCCAATACAGTCACGTTCTCCAACTGAGTGGTCCCTTGCAAACTGTAATGAGCAGCTCCATCTTTAAGATCGTAGCTTAATGAAAGATGGGTCAGGTGAGAGAAACCAGCAGCAATGGACTCAACATCGATGATTTCATCGTCATCATCAAATACCACATCCCATAGACGGAGTTTCTTTAGTTTCTGAGATCTTGAGATCATCTGGTAGAACTTTGGCCATACCATTGTGAAGTGATTGACATCAACTACTTCAAGGCTTTCAGATGTCTCCATGATATCAAGATGTATAACACTGACATCGTCGAGCTTAAAATGCTTCAAAGTTCCGTTTCCTATAAGCTCAAAGAGCTCGAGAACACAGTCTTTCATGTGCAAGAACTCGATACTATCAGCCTCCAAGATGAATTTATCCAAACTAATCCCATCGAAATAAACACTCTTCAGCGTCGGGCTGCTCAGTTCAATCGTCACTTGCGCATCCGACATTGCAATCTCCAAACTCACAAGTTCCAAACTCTCAATCATCGGACAAGCACTAAGCAAAAGATTCAAATCCAAAGCTGAAATGCTAACATAACTCAACGAAAGCGATTTCAAACAAGGGAATCTCTGAAAACTTGGTTCAACTCCAGTAATAGAATTATGAGCCAAAACCAAAGCTTCAAGCTTCTGCCTCCCACAGATTTCAAGAATGTTAACATTAGGAGTAGTACGAACATTATAAGACAACCGGCGCAAAGTATCCCTCGTATACATAAGCCAAGCAATAACCGTGGCAGCCGAAAACTTATTCGCATCATCCATCATAATAGAAAGACCTTGCAGTCCCGTGATTTGGAAAATGGTTTGAGTTATAAGGATCTCTAAACGATTCGTTGTAAGATCTCGATAAAACGGCCAATCAGCGGAATTGAAAGAAAGTGTCTGAAGATGTTTGCGACAAGCTTCTCGCCATTTCCTACATGTTGCAGAAGCTATCACAACATCCCGAGCTCCTCCGAGACGTGATAGTATGTTTCCAATAACTTCCACAGGAAGATAGTCCATAATTCAAGAGCTACACTGGTAGATACATAGTAAAGAGATTAAACATCAAATCGTTATAGTGACGAATCTAACAAAATTCCTGAGATAATTCAATAACATTTTGATCCAACTACATTACACAAAATATAGATCCAACATTACATCGCAAAACCACCACAAATATCTCTTGGCATATGCGAAAATAACCGTTACTATAAGTGAAAACATCGAACAAATCACCAGAATCAAAGCTAGAGAATCAGGAATCATATCGAATTTTGCAGCAAAAGATATGAATCAAGCAATAGATATTAACAGAGATGATTAGAAATTGAAGGAAAGAAAACGATCAATGAAGCGAAATAGAAGATCTGTATACCGATTTAGGTTCTCCGGGATGAAGAAAAGGTATGAAGACGGTGGATCTGCGAGGAGGAAGAAGAAGATTTGGAGGAGGCGATCTGGTTATTAGAGGAGAAGAAGAAAATGAGAGAGACGACGACTTGAGGGTTTTTTTTTTTTTTCTTCTGTTTTTTTCACTAAAATAAATAATGAATAATATTTGGTGGTGGGGTCATGGCGGGATGTGAAAATCAACGGCATCTTACTGAAAGAGAGCTTTCTTTTAATTTTAATTTTCTAAATTTTTTGCTTTTTCTGGTCTTTATTGTTTAAAAGGGACTTTTGGTTAGCCAGTTCGATTCCGTTGGATTTTGACACCCAACTTTTTTAGTTTTAATTTGATATGGTTCCATCTGTATAATTAAATATTATATTAATTTTTAACCAAAAAAAATAGAAATTTATTAAATATATATTAGTTCAAAGTTCATTTCATTTAAACCAATTATCAATAAATTTTGATTTGGTTTGGTTTGGTTACACTTGACTCATTGTTTTAGTTTGTTTTTTTAGGTCTGAACATAAAAACGAGAACCGAATTACCTAAACTAGAATCGACCCGAAATATCTGGTTCGGTTTCGATTATTGCCAAATGCCAATATACCTGACGGTTTTTATACATGTATATATGTGGGTATTCGGTCGGTTCTAAGCAGGGTCGGCTATGGACCGAGCAGGATGAAACTTGGGTTTAAGGTCCCTATTTTTTATTTTTATTTTTCTTATAACAAAATAATTTTTAGGTCCCCAAATTTTGTAAATCTTTTGATCAATTTTTTTTTGATAGGCAGGGCCGGCCCTGGTTCAAGGTATCTGATATTGATCATGTTTTATTAGTTGAGTTGAGTTATAGAATTTGGTTCAAGTTTATTCAGTCTATGGTAAAAGCAAATAATATGCAGAACTTGGATTGATGTGGAAATGCTTCTAAATTGTTTTTGTGAACATCTCCTCTTTTTTTTTTTTTTTTGAAGAACATCTTTTTTTTCTTCAGATTATTTCTATTTAACAGAAAGAGGATAATTTCATAACGAGTTTAAAAACCATAAACAATGGGGGATATTATTAATGTCCATCATTTCAAATATAACAATGGGAGATATTGTTAATGTCCATCATTTCAAATATCAAACATTTAGTAGTGACGACGCTGGTACATCATCTGAAGATCATTGCAATGGTTGCAGGTCCAAGGAAGTAGATAAGGGTCTAAACAATACGAGTGGATTCGCCGGAAATTGCAGAGGTGACATCTTATGAGAAGCTCCTCTGGCTCAGTCAAGTAGCATCTGCTGCAACCTGAAGCTCGAGTCTGCAGGGAAAAAACAAAACACAATAAGAATGTTGTTGCTATCAAGAACAAGATCGCGTAGCAACTCAATACTCTCGGCTTACTAGTGGATTAAAAGTTTGTCTTTGTTCTTCTTCAGGGAGTACTACAAGGGTGTTATTTGTTGAAGATAAGTCAGGGACGGTTTGTGAATATATCTTTTGATCGGAAGAATCAGCGTCTTCTATCTTTGTGATGGTGATGAAATTGGACTTGCACAATGGACATGTTGTTTTCTTTCTTTCGGAAACCTGCAGATATAATATGGTAGTTGCATCATTACAGTATCCGGATTTTAGGAGTGTTGTTTGAAAGGCGAAGATAGACTCACCAAACGGTCTGCCCATTTTTGGATGCACGAATAACAAAACCTGTGGCCGCAAGGGAGAATGCCTCTACTGGAACTGAACTCGGTCCAGCATATGATACAAGAAACCTGTGCAGTAGCCTTCTGAGTTGCTTCTGTCTCGTCTCTTGTTGATTCGGGTTTGTTGTAGTTTGACCCATCATCTTGCGGTTTTATCTCTGGACTAATTGATCTTGGACGTTTAAAAACAGCTGAATGACTCCAATTCTCAGACTCTTCTATTTCATCTACATCCCAGTTTTGTGTTGCAGAGTCTCCAGGATGTCGAAGAGCTGATGTTTCTCCTTGTTCGAAAACACAACCCCTCTCATTTTCATCAGCAGGCTCTCTAGGATCCTGAGTCTCATTTCGGTTCTCATCAGAGTTTTCATGACGGTTATTATCAGATTCCTCATCAGATTCTAGGTCAATAAGGTTTCTGCAAGAGCGTTGCTTTACTAACTGCCTCTTTCCCTTCCGCGAGGATTTTGCCACGCCAGTGTTTTCCTTGTCTTCAAAAATATTACTCGGCCTCTTTGTTCTTAATCGCACTGAGTGTCTGTTTGCTTCTACATTTTTCTGAAGAGCAACAACGGAGTTCAGAGACAGAAAAAAAAAACATAACTTACTATACCATACACAGAGCATTGATGCACGAAAGCTTTTTTTTATTCGTGCTGACTCAAATGTCCACAGTGATCACCTATAGCTAATCTTGGTAGCTACATCACGATATATAAACTAAACCTGATGAGGATATGCTATTACCACATCAGTCTTTAAATCATACAGAAACTATGCAGAATGATAAGACGATTCTGATCTTCAGGCAATATATGACTAAACAACACAAAATGTTTGTACTATTTCTTTAACTCCATAAAAACTAAACTAATAGATGAAACAGAATTATAAAGCTGTAGGCTTTCCAGATTCAGATTGTATCTAAGCAAATAGGTAATAAGAGAACAAGAATTACCTCCTTCAACAAGACAGAGTCCATCCAAGTGGCAAGCTCAGAAGTGGAGCCACTCCGGTTTTCTTCACCTTTACTAAAGTATTTCTCAAAAGTTTCAGCAGCCTTATTCACTTTCTTAGTAACCTTAGCTTCCCCAGAAACCGCGGGAAGTTCAACCATCAACGGTCCAACCTCTTCCCCACTGAAAAATTACTCTTAAGGCGTTATCAATCATCATTTAGAAAACCGAGAAGCTATCCTACACATTTCAAAAACAAAGACCGGCAACAGTAAGCAAACCTCTCAAACATATAAGGCGTCTCAGAAACTCGCCTCCCTTCCCTAACACATTCTTCAACCCATTGATGATTCACTACTACTGTACCAAACTTCTTCGCAAGATCATACTTTTTACCCTCGAATTTCCAACACACCTACACACATAACCAATAAATCAAAAGGGTATGACTTCATTTCTCCACAATAGTGAATCGCATAAACAAAACAGAACAATCTACACAAACCAAATGTGTAATAGATCTTGACATTGCCCCAACATAACTTGCTCCAGAATGAGAAATAAGCTTGATGAGCTTGAACCTATCAGACCCATGATAACCACTCACAGTTGCAACCACATTTTCCATACCTACAAATATCATAGCCACATGAAAACGTAATTTGGGGATGCAACAATTTCTTCTAAATCACACTGTGCGATTAAAACCCCAATATCGCCGAGAGGATCAAAATATTGGGAAAAGCTTACATCTTTCGTATCAAATGGGTCATAAATCATAATCGCTAAACCCTAAACTAGAATCGAGCTAATTAGACCAAATTTCAGTAATTGAATTGAGAAATCAAAAACCTTTTACAGAAATCGAACAGCGAAACCCTAGAAATTGCAATTTCTTAATTCGGGCAGAATTACCTGGTCTAATTGGTACGAATTAGCTGCGATTTTCACTTTGATTGCTTCAATCTCTGTTCCCGTTCTTTCTCAGGTCAGTAACAATGGAAGCAAAAGGTTAAAGGAGAAGCGAAAATTAGATGGGAGTCTGGCGGGAATTTAAAAATATCAAATGTATTGAAACAATATTTTTGGACGGAAAAATTTGTACTCGGCCGGTGTTTAAAAAACAAAATCGTATTCTGTCCAAAAAAAAATTATGGGTGAATTAGGTGAATAACCATTCTAGATAAAGTTATTAAATATATAGCACTATAATGAGGCAAATGAAGGAAGTAACACAAGTGGAGGATAAAAAGTCGAAAAACTCCTTTTCATTTTGTAAGTGATGAAGATGCACGTGTAATGAGAGGAGAGTAACACACTCGTGGTTGCATTTGGATCGAATGATTTCGTTTCAGTTTGTGGACGTACGCGTAAGGAGTGAGTTGTAGTGGTGGTGGTGTTAATGATAGTGGTGGTGATTGTGTTGGTATGGCGGCAACGATGTGGCGTTGATGGTGCTTGTCGCGGTGGTGGCGGCGACTTCAACTCCAATAGGTTCATCATTATCTACTTATCTTCAATGCTAATTTGCAGCGTAAGGAGATGAGAAGAAACACTCAATTCCAGAATCACAAGCTTCCAGTTAACATCAAATAATGGAGAATCAAGATGTCGAATAGTAAATTTCAGTTAAGGAAAAATAGTATACTATGTACATAAAAATCTATACTATTTGTAATCAACTAATGAGAAATTCATTTGCAGATCAAACGATAGACCCCAACAACGGCGATATCTTGACTAAAGTTTTCAAACTAAAATGTTAAAAAGATCATTGAAACAATATCGGTCATTCACTTGTCTGTTCCTCACTTCCCAAAACCCAATTCACGTTTTTACAGTTACCAATATCTTGTCGATTCGAATCAGAGAGATTCTGGTTTAGGCTCTTAAGCAATCAAATGGGAGTCCCCATGGCACTTGTGAGAGGGAGAGAAAATGGAGGAGGCCAGGAGAGAGGAAGAAACTGAGAAAGAACAGAGAGGAGGTGGAGAAATGAAGAAAGAAAAGATAAAGATGCTTTGGGGGTAATTGTGTCTTTAATACATATTACACACATTATATCACAAGGGATTTTTTTTGGTTACTTTCTTAAATAAAGTTTTTTTGTTGGTTATATTTGCCAATTTCTCAAAAATTATCTACCTTTATATATCAAATCAAGTTTTAGGGACAAAAATAGCACTCAAAAGTTTATTGGACAAAAATAACACTTTATTTTGATTTTTTAAATTAATAAATAATTATAAATAGATATAAAAAATTACAAATTCATCGTTAATATTTTCCCGCCAAAACAAAGTCCCGTCAAAATTTTCCCGCAAAAATTTTTTTTGCCAAAGTCTCCAGCCAAAATATTTTCCGCTCCTGAAAAAAAAAACTTCAAAATTTTGCCGCCAAAAAAAATTCCAACAGACTTTTCCCGCCAAAAAAGAATCCAAGAAATTCAGGAAAGATTCCACGAAATTTAAGAATAATTTCATGTAATTTAGGAAGGCTTTCACGAATCGTGAAACCCTTCCTGAATTACGTGGAATCCTTCATGAAATTCATGAATTCATAAAATCATTCCTAAATTACGTGGAATCTTTCATGAATTACGTTGAATCCTTCTTAAATTTCGTGCAATCCTTTTAGGAATCATATCTAGAAATTCAAGGAATCCTTCCTGAATTTCTTGATATCTTTCCTGAATTCCGTGGATTTTTTTGGCGGGAAAAATTAGACCGGATTTGTTTTTGCGGAAAAATGTTTAAAAAAAATTTGGCGGGAAAATATTTTTAAGTTGCGGAAATTTTTGGCGGGAAAAATAAATTTTGGCAGAAAATTTCCAATTTTATTTATTTATATATTTAAATTGAACTAGTTATTCATATTTAATATTTAATTAAAGTTTATAGTGCTATTTGTGGAACTTTTCAAATGTAATGCTATTTTTTGAAAAAAACTTATTTTAGTGCTATTTTTGTCAATCTCCCTAAAAGAAATGTTTCATTTTTTCCTATTGATTTGCATGACAATTCAAGTTTAAAAGATATATATATATATTAAATATACTTTTATATAACATTTATATCTCATAAAACCACAGTTAGATTTATGTATAATTTTCCGTCAAAATAAAATAAAATACATGTATAACGGTTTGTTTATATATCAAAGAAATTTATAAAAACATACGTTACAAAATTAGAACGGATTTGTTATATTGATTTTTAGCACACTTCTTGAACACAATAAAAATGCCAAGTCTTTCAATCACAATAAATCCGCGAAATAACTTTTCTATTGTATAACTTCTGGCGGAGTTGCTGAAATGTAGGAAACTCTAATTTAAAATATATTAAATTTTCTGTTAGATGTATAAATATGTTTCTTCGAAGTATATATTTATGTTTAGATATATGTGTTTGCAATGATTACTTTTTACAACTATAATTCTATTAAGCCATGCAGAAGAAATATATTTTAGTTGTTGGAGTTATGATGTTGTGGTAGTCTATAACTGAGAATTTACCACTTCAAACCATATATGATTGTGACTCTGATGGATAAGAAAAATGGTAGTCGATGAATGAACATTACCATACCAACATTGACTCTCTCGGAGTTGCACAATTGGCGAGAATATTGTTTACCATATATTTACAACTGAGGTTTTCATGTTCATTATCGAATAAATGAAACGAGTTCGAAGACTAATTCTTAACAAAAGAGGTGATTCACCAAACTGCTTACAAACAATGATCGCTATGTTTAGAAATGTATATCCGTGATATTATTAGTAAAATTTTGTATACCAGTTAAAAATATGTATGTATTTTTAATTGATTTATCTTAGTTTAAATATTTTGATGTGATTTGTTATTCAAAACAATAACAAAATATGATTAATTTATTACGCTTATTTTGTTAAAAAAAATAATCATGTGATTTTTAAATAGCATGTTAATCGATCTCACGCAATTTTACATTATTAAAAAATTTGTTAAAAGAAAATATGAATTTTTTTTAATTATTTATAGTTTTCTGACCACGTGTTTATACTTTATAGTAAATTATGAAGTTTTCTGGCAAAATTAAATGGCTCTTCAAAAGTAAAATAAAATTAGAAACTACTACAAAGGTGAGTATGTCATCATCGGTTTGGAGTTCTGTCTCGCTCCTTGTCTCTACTCTCAAGACCTGATCGAGGTCTGGTCAGATCAAAGATTTCTATCGAGGCGTCAAATTGTCGTGGTTCTCGACAACGTCGTTTCCAGAAGATTTGTGAATCGTTTTGTCTGTGATTTGCTTCTTTCTTACTGGATATGAAGTCTAGGATTAAGTTATTTGTGAGGTACTTTAGATTCGCTATAGGAGGTTTCGTTAGCTGCTAACGGACTCGTTTCATCCGCTGTGGTTGGCTTTGTTCATCTGGGAGATAATGGGAAGTCTTTTGATAAGTCTATTTTGTTAGAGAATTTGTTTATAGACATGGCTTGTCACTTCGCTTTTTGTGGATTGTTATTTCATCGTTTTCATTAGTTTTCCTGTAACTTAGGGCTTTTGCTTCCCTCTTTTGGGTTTCTGTCTCTGGTGATATCTCGTTTTTCCGCCGACATATGTATTTCATCATGTATCCTTCTATGGTTTTCTAATAAAATTCAGACGACAAAAAAAAAAAAAAAAAAAAAACTACTACGAAGGTAAATTCAACTTTCGATTTATTTATAGTACAATTTTTAACCGAGTGAAACATAGAGACAAAATGGTGAAGGGCAAACAATAAATTTTTCCCCTTTGTTTTTTCTTTCCCGATTTTACATCTCTCGTATCACAAAATTTGTTGAAAACCTTCTCATAACAAATCTAAGTTGATCTCCCAACAAAATCAGATAAACATTAGTACTCAACGTTCACCACTGTACCAACTTCTCTTAACCCATAAGATTATGGGACCAAACAGGTAACACTTCCACAGTTGAAGGAATATGTACTCTTAGCTGGTAGCCTCATCTACAACTAGGGTTTCCGCGTGCACTGGCTGTTGCAGCTGACCCGTAAGGAGTATTGTTGGATGGTCCAGGTGGGAATGGAGCGCCGTAAGGTCCTGTGGGTAACCTTATTGTTGGGTCATATGAACCAGGAGGGCCTCTTGGGAAGTTGTAACCGGGTCTTGGAGGGAAGTATCCTGGCTGAGTTACTCCTGGATAAGGGTATTGAGCTGCGCCAACAATTGAATTTGGTCCAGCTGCATTACCAGCAACTGATTGAGGAATATATCCCTGCAAAAGTAACAAAACGTATATAGCTCAAACACATTTAGATCTTATTCTAAGAAAGTCGAAAGTGAGTAAAGTTTATAGCTCATCGTTTCTATTTATACTGTGCCAAAATGTATAGATCCTTTCACGATCGTTAATAATAAATAAGGAGAACCAATGTGGGTTTCAGAAAGTGAGTGCACATTTGTGGCTATATTAGGCGAGATAGGAAAAGGCTTGCAAAGAAAAACTCACGAACCTGGGGACCAAAAGCATCTTCATAGTAACCATTTCCACTCTGATGCCCAGAAGCGTCAATTTCAGCATTCATGTTGCTACCATAAGGGACACCTTCATTTGATTGACAGATACAACTCTTTAATTACTGAAAAAGTTTGTGGACGAAAGGCGCTAAATAGAACAGAAACTAGATAAATAGCTTAATACCGGCTCTTCTGTCTGAATTCGCACTGTTCATCAACTGTGCTTGAAGTTTTTCAACTTCCCTAGCCATAGTCATGTAGTTCTTCTCCATTGCCTGAAGTGACTCGAGATGGTCGTTATAAAATTTCTTCTCATAGTCATATGTTGCCCTGTAGAATCAGATGAAATAAAATTCATCCCAACCTTCATAAGAGGATGATACCAAAGCTGATAAACTCAATAACTATAAGAAGAGTGTCGGGAGCCTGTGATATCAGAAACTTCCATTCCTATAATCCTAAGCGTCACTTTTCAAGTTCTACAACCATATTAACTCAGAAATAAATACCTGCACTGCTGGTACTCCTGTCTTAAATTCTCAAGTTCTGACATAAGGGCAGGTATTTGCTGCACATCTGAACGAGCTTTCTGAAGTTCCTGAGTCAACTGATGAACTTTAGACATAAGCTCCTCCCTCGCCACAACCAAGCTACGTGCCTCAGCACGTGCTTGTTGCATCTCCAACTTCACAGCCTCAGACTTCTGAAGCTCAGTCTCCATTTTCGCAACTTTCTCAGCAAGACCCATCATCCGTTGCTCTCTCTCAGACTTCATCGACCCAATTTGCGAGTGCAACATCTGCAATTCATGCTGCGCTGCTGCTAGCTCTTGTCTTAAACTACCATGAGTTGCACCAAGTCTCTGATTCTCTATAGCAAGTCTCTGCAATTCCCCGTGTTGTGCCGCAAATTTTTGCTCCATAACTTCAGGTGGAGGCAACATGTTGAAAGAAGGATATGCACCTTGAGCAGCTGAAGGCGGTATAGCAGCGTGACTACCAAAAGTCTCGGGATGTGCAATACCACCACCGGGACCTGGAAGAGGACGCCTCATATGATGATGAGATGGGTGGATTCTTCCTTTGCTTTCCATCAAAACAAAAGCTTCAAAGTCCTTATCAACTGTGAAAAAACATAAGAAAAAAAGATAAAGATGACACACATTCACATCAATCTGCAAAATCAATGCAGGTAACTCTAGAAACAGTCAAATCAAGCTCTCTTTTTTTTTTTTTCCGTTCAAATCAAACTTATTCATAGGCAAACAGAACTATCATCGGAAAATCAATTGATTTGCAGATTCATGACCAAAAATTAGGGTTCTAAATCACCGGAATCAACTTCGAAGCAACGATATAGATCCTGACTAATTCCGATTAAATCCTGAAAAGGTTTAAAGATTCTACAATAGAACGGGATCGACTCGTACCTTGGAATCAGTAATGGTGAAAGAGGAGAATCGAAGATATTTGATCGAGTTTTGAGATAGAGCGACGAAGAGTAGCAAACGACGGCGAAGGTTTTTTTTTTTTCTTTTTTCTTTTTACCGGCGTGAATTTCTTTTTTCAGTTCCAGGGTATTTTATTTCTCTTATTCATGTTATGATTTATAATTAACACATGATGTTTATGATTTTTTTTTAGTTTTTTTATGTCTTCAAATACTTTATTTTTATTTATTAAAGGATAAATTTATAAATATTATACCAAATGGCAAATACTCCTGTGTTTAAATTTAATTGCCGTTTATAATCTAAATTTTGGTTTAGAATAAATGTCGTTTTACATTTTTCATGCAAAATTTTAATAAATCAACTATTGGATAGAGTATTCAGGTGTTCGGAGTGAATGAGGTTCTCGTGGTTCAATCTCTTCCACAGTAGGCCGATTTATTACGTACGATTAGCCATTTTACGGTAATAAATCGGAGTGTAGAACTGAATACTCCATTCAATGAGCTTAATCTGATGACCTTCGTCAGAATTTCTGCAACTATTCGCTGTTAGGATAAGATCCCGTTTAATGTTCCTAAAACTCTAATTTACTTTTTATTTTGTAACTGTGAATTTTATACCCGACTACAGCTTTATGCCTTTTAGAAAAATCTATTAATAATAATAAATAAAAAAATTTATTAAAGGAAATAATATTTTTAACTAAATATGAATAGATAAAATTCTATAATTCGTTGCTACAGAGATCGAAGCCTTAATTTGGACGATGAGATGTATGATCGGCCAAGATAAGAGAGAAGTAGTTTTCCTCACAGACTGCTCCGACTTGGTGAAGATGGTGTCTTCCACGCAAGAGTAGCCAACGTTCGCAACATATTTAGAAGAGATTCAGAGTGACAAGAAAGAGTTTGAATTTTTTTCCTTATCTTTAGTTTCTCGAATTGCAAATTTTAAAGCGGATAAATTGGCACGAACTGTTCGTAACCAACCGCATTCTATCACGTATGTAAACAATTTTCCTTATAATTGGCTTATTTGAACCAATCTAATAAAGTTGTTGAAAAAAAAATCTAAATAATAATTTGTTGGATTTTCTAGGTTTAGCCATAACCATTTTCTCATTAATATTCTCTCATACATCGATTCATTACATATTTATACTACTACCATTATTACCCTACTAACTTAAATTAGTGTTTCTAACACTACGAAATCCATTTCTACATGGGCTTGTTTTACATAATGGCCCAATGACCTCTTAACTTATCTTGTGACAAAAGTTTGCCAAAGAAGGAGATGAATGATTCCGAGGAAAAGACATGCTATGACAATCCAAAGCAGCCAATAATTGTCGTGGACCTAGTTAGATTGATCTTAGAACGCTTGAGCTTTGTTGATTTTCATCGAGCGAGATGCGTTTCTTCAACATGGTATATTGCTTCGAAATCAGTAACCGGAGTAACAAATCCAACAACTCCATGGATCATCCTCTTTCCAAACAAACATGTGGAAAACAACAACAATGTTTCATGTAAGTTATTCGATCTTCACGAAAACAAAACCTACATAATCAGAGATACGGCCTACGGGTTAGATATGGCTAAGGCCTAAGAGTCGTTGTTTAGCGAGTTCCGGTAGTTGGTTCCTTATGTTAGACCATAGAACTGATTTTCATCTTTTGAATCTTTTTACTCGAGAGAGTATTCCTCTTCCGTCTCTCGAAACAATGGATGAACGGTGCATGAAGTTTAAGAGGATCAATGACTCTTATGGAAGCCATATTATATTAGAATAGACAAAGCGGTTTTCTGGGTCTGGAGAAGTTTTGATCATTGTAGGTGGTAAAGTGGATTCATCTCCAGAGGCTAGATGCGTTTACACCGTCTATAAGATGGATTCTAAATCATCAGAATGGATAATAATCAAGTCTATAGGTGACGAAACATTCCCCTCTATTTCGAAACAAACCATGGATGTTATATGGAGATTTCAACGAAATTCTAGAAGGAGAGGAACACTCACTCTATGAGGTAAACCCGACTATACCAACTGGTATGAGAGACTTTCAAGATCTGGTGAGATATTGTTCATTGAGTGATATGCAATTTCATGGTCCATGCTTTACGTGGTGCAAACAAAAGGGATGAAGAGTTGATTTGCAAAAACTTGGATAGAGTTTTGGTGAATGACAATTGGATTGCAGACTATCAACAATCGTACTGTGTATTCGAGGCAGGGGTTGCTCGGATCACTTACGCTGTCGGATAAAAATTCGGGATGATAAGCCTCGCATTCGTAAGCCTTTTAAGTTTACAAATGCTCTGACTTCAGACTCGAATTTTTTGCCAATGATAAAGGAATACTGGGACCTTAACCACTCTTCCACTCAACATCGGCTCTATACCGGTTCTCTAAAAAGCTAAAAAAAAGTTGAAAGCTAAGATCAGAGTGCTAAGCAAAAACAAACTTGGGAATCTTACAAAGAAGACTAAGGAAGCTTTTGCAGAGCTATGTAAGTGCCAACAGGAAACACTGCAAAATCCAACAGTTTTGGCGTTACAGAATGAATCAGCAGCTTATAGTCGTTGGCTCCATGTCTCAGACTTAGAGGAAAAATATCTAAAACAAAAATCCAAGCTCCATTGGTTGAAGGTAGGAGATGGAAACAATAAAGTTTTCTATAAAACCGCGAAACTCCGGGAGGTCAGAAATGCGATAAAGGAGATCAAATGCTCCGATGGGACGATTGTGGATTCCCAAGAAGACATGAAAACAGAGGCTACAAGATTTTTCCAGGATCTTCTAGGCCACAAACCGAATCATTATCAGGGAATAGAGAAACAGGATCTTCAAGACCTCTTGAAAACTCGAATCACAGAGGAAGAAGGAGAAAAAATGACCCGTGCAGTCTCTATAGATGAAATCAGAAAAGTCTTGTTCTCAATGCCAAGTAACAAAGCCCCTGGTCCTGATGGATACACAGTGGAGTTTTTCAAAGAAACATGGTCAATTGTTGGTAAAGATCTTGGTGCAGCAGTCCAATCTTTTTTCATCAAAGGATTCATACCAAAAGGAATGAATGCTACTATTCTCGCCCTAATACCAAAGAAAAAAGAGGTAAAGGAGATGAAAGACTACCGCCCCATCTCTTGTTGTAATGCCATTTACAAAGTAATCTCAAAGATCATTGCCAATCGACTTAAACCTATCCTTCCGCAGTTCATCTCGCCAAATCAATCCGCCTTTGTCAAAGATCGTCTATTGATGGAAAATGTTCTATTGGCTTCTGAAATAGTAAAAGACTACCACAAGGATACGGTCTCAGGCCGAAGTGCGAAAAAATAGACATTTCAAAAGCGTTTGATTCGGTACAATGGCCATTCCTCCTCACCACTCTCTCGGCTCTAAATATCCCGCAGCGGTTCATCGATTGGATTAAACTGTGTGTCACAACTGCATCATTCTCTGTGCAGGTCAATGGAGAACTATCAGGTTTATTTCGTAGTGAAAGAGGTCTCAGGCAAGGCTGCTCATTGTCACCTTACCTGTTTGTAATATGTATGCATGTTCTGTCTAAGATGCTTGATAGGGCAGCTCAGGAAAGGAAAATAGGGTATCATCCCCGATGTCAGAATCTGAAACTCACGCATTTTTGCTTTGCCGACGACTTGTTAGTCTTCACTGATGGGAGAAATAGTTCGATAGAAGAGATTCTTAAGCTCTTTGAATCCTTTGCAGGCCTGAAAATAAGCCTTGAAAAATCAACACTCTACATGGCAGGGATAGCTGACAGAGAAAAGGAAACGATTCTCCACAGCTTTCCTTTCGACACCGGTTCCCTACCTGTCAGATATCTTGGCTTACCTCTGTTCACAAAGAGGATGACGACTTCAGACTATATGCCGCTCATTGAACGTATCCGGGACAGAATTGGTAGTTGGACGGCACGTCACCTCTCCTTTGCGGGACGCCTCCAGCTCATAAGCTCGGTTGTCCAGAGCCTCACAAACTTCTTGATTTCAGCTTTCCGTCTTCCTAGTGCCTGCATCAAAGAGATAGACCGACTCTGTTCTGCTTTCTTATGGTCTGGGCCTGATCTGAACCCAAAAAAAGCTAAAGTGGCTTGGACTGATGTTTGTATGCCTAAAGAGGAAGGTGGTCTAGGCCTAAGATCAATTCACGAGGCAAATAAGGTCAGCTGCCTAAAACTTATTTGGAGAATAACATCTTCAGATTCTCTTTGGGTGCAATGGATACGATTATATCTCATAAGGAAGGGTTCTTTCTGGTCAATAAAGGAAACGACCTCAATGGGGTCATGGATGTGGCGTAAACTTCTCAAGTATCGTGAACTTGCTGCTGGGTTTATAAGAAAAGAAGTGCGGAATGGGAAGAACGTCTCGTTCTGGTTTGATAATTGGTCTACTTTGGGAAAACTAATAGATCTCACGGGGCAAAGAGGATGTATAGACATGGGTATAACTCTCCACTCTTCAATATCAGATGTGATCACAAATCATAGACAGAGGAGGCACAGAAACGAAAACTTCAATAATATTGAAGCAGTGATTGCTGAAATCAAGAAAAAAGGGTTAACACAAGAGAAGGACTTAGTTCTTTGGAAAGGGAAAGGAGATCGGTTCAAAACAAGCTTTAGCACCAGGGAGACTTGGGAACAAACTCGTGTGGCCAAGCCACATATAGACTGGTATAAGGGCGTCTGGTTTCTTCATGCCACGCCTAAATACACATTTATAACATGGCTTGCGACAAGAGATCGTTTAACCACGGGAGGCAGAATGGTACATTGGCAAGTGAGAGCGAAAATTTCATGTGTCTTCTGTGATGAACCGATAGAAGACAGGGATCACCTCTTCTTTAAATGTTGTTATGCCGAGGAGATTTGGTCAGGGCTGAGCAGTAAGCTGCTTGGTCAGAAATTTAGCACAAGATGGGGAGATATTCTCAAAACCCTCACAGACAAGTCATTGGGGACTGAATGCCTTTTCCTAACGAGGTACGCTTTTCAGCTCGCTATTTACTCCATATGGAGGGAACGAAATAGCAGGAGGCATGGGGAATCACCATCACCGCCAGCGCAACTGCTTCGTAACCTCGACAAACAGGTTCAGAATAGGATCTCCTCGATACGGGAACAAGGAGATAGAAGATACGACGGATGTACGTATGGAAGCTTGGTTTGCTTCAAGATAAGGAGTAGTCTTATGAGTTGTATACAAACCTTTTAACTAAACGTTGGCACTTGATGTAAAAACGTTTTTTTCGAATAAATTTTACATTTTATTCAAAAAAAAAAAAAAAAAAAAAAAAAAGAAACATTGCTTTGGATTTAGGAATTACGTTTCCGGCTAAAGATGGAGTTATGATGAGAAATTGCATATATTTTAGTAATGATCAGTATCATATATACAATGGGATTAGTCTATGCTTTGGTTATAAAGTTAACGGTATTTGCGTCTACCATATCGGAAGCAATAGTGTGGTCCAAGTTTCTGAACATGTAACTACTTCCTCGACAATACGTTTCAAGGATGCTCGATGGTTTTTCCCCATTTATGTTGAATAATGGTTGTGTTAATATTATTAACTTCTTGTCTTTTGGTAAAGGTGGAATATTCTCTTTTGGGTTTAATTGATACTTTCAGCTTTTTGGTTCCACTTTTTCGTACTGCTATTTGTATTTTTTTATAACTATTTTGTATCGCTTACCGATTCTTTTATCCGCTAGAAAACTTGTATCGTTATGTGTTACCAATCAGATTTTTTATATTATAGAACAAGAGTGTTTTGGTTATTTTTTAAATATATGTTTACGTGTTTGGACTCGAAAGTGTTAAAAACATACTCAAAATCTATCATATTTGTAGACCAAAATGTTGTTCATATGACTGTCGTTGGATCCAAATGAATACTGCGACCAAATGTTATTTGTTTGATAGTCACTAAATCCAGCGATCAAAGTTTTCAACGTTAGAAAGAGTAACTTATGGATAACCTGGAGTTTCTAAGCATTACTAAACGGTTGAGGTTGACAGAGATTCAAAAAAGAAAGAAACAAACGGCAACCTTTGAAGTAAATTTTTGTAGGCGCAATAGTAAACCTTCCCGGATAGATTCGGAGGACCCGTCAAGTTGAGGAAGAACGAATTCAACCTCCCATGGGACCCGACAAAGAAGTCGGAGCTTAACAAAAGATCAAAGGATTTGGAAGGCAATTGGTGATACATGATCTCCAAACAAAAGTCCGAGATCCACGAAAAAGCATATATTCATCTCACATATTCGTAACTGAAAAGGAAAATTCATCTAAAATAGAAAAACTTAATTTAAATCTTCACATAATTCTTATTGGAAAAAGAGATTAAAATAAATAAGATACAATGATAGTTAAGAAACTTATGATCAATAGATTTGAAACATATCGGAATCGTTACTGACTTAGTTTGAAAACCAAACTTTATATAATAAGATGGATTTAATGTCGTGGATGACCTCAAAACAAACAATTGTAAACATCACGGAAGCATTTTGTTTTCAAGCAAACAATTCACAATTTAAGAAAATAAGAAATACAAACAGCTTGACCGAATAAAACTTAAAGCAAAATAGTACAGCCGATCATAGGTATGACGGGTGTATGGCGCTTTGGTTTGCCTCACGATAAAACGAGCTCATATCTTTAGCTTTTGTTTTTATGAGCATTGTCTTATAATCATTTAAACAGTCAACACAAACGCTGCACTAGATGTAAAACAGTTTTTTTCGAACGAATTTTACATTTTATTCAAAAAAAAGATAAATAGTACAGCTGATCCTCATCTCTAACTTTCAGATCCTGTTATTTCCTTTATTTTTCTTCTCTCCCTGCGTTGCTCCATTTGTGATCGTTGGTTCATCAATCGTATTTTTCCCTCCTGTCACTTGTTTTTTTGTCCCTTTTAAATTGCTTTTCTGAAGCTGATGAAGGAAAATAATCAAGAAGAAATTAGACAAGAGATTTCCAAAAAACCATGCCGCTAGTCACTAGATCATAAAACGTTTATTTAACTTAAGTATATGATTATATACCCCTTTTAACCCGGACTGCGGAAGATGACGACCTGCATAAATAAACAATATATATTAGTTTCATACAAGCTAGCTAGGTACTACTTACTAGTTAATTACATGAATCTCAAATAATCAAAACCCATATACCAATTAGCCCGAACGTACCTTCTGTGCCTGCATTATTAGTGGATGAAGAAGAATCCATAGATGGAAATAACTAAACAAGAGAGCAAGAGATTCGTGAATGATAAGGAGCTTGGTTTTGTTTTTAGATGTTATAAAGAGAGATAAATAAAGTAATGATTTATCTTGTTGGCTCGGGACGCCTTGTGATTGGTCTGCTGACAAAAGCAACCGCACTTGTGTTTTTTTTTCCATAGAATATAATTTATGAGTGACTAACTAATTTAGTAAAGCAAGTGGGAAAAGCATAGTCAACAAACTGAAGCGTTAACCTTGCCAAAAAAATCGTCATTTTTCATTCAAAGACTTGAGGGATAAAAGAAATTAAAACATTACTAAACTTTTTGTTTCAGAGAAAGTCTAGAAGGCCAATATTCTAGTTTGTTCATCATCGGCTCATTGTGATAAACTCTATATGATTCACTGCAACACTATTTGAGTTTTTGCTATGAATTTCCAATAGTGTATTTTAATTGAGCTAATGACACTTGGTCAATGCCGATGTTTTTTCTACATGTTTCCGTCTGAAAAATCGACGGTTTTACCGGTTTTTGAAATTTGTCGAAAATTTTCAATGATTTAATTCCTACATGTTGGACGTTACGTTAGAAGTTAAAGTCCATCGTTGTTCTGTCATAGAGCGAGCTAGTTATTTTCTTGTACTAAGTGTTTTTGTAGACTAACCATAAATTAGAATAACCAAAATGAAACACTAACAAACACACCAAAACGTTTCTTATTTATTAAAAAAAGTAAATCATCGCCAAGATATTTGGAAAAGCCACAAACAAGAGTTGAAAACAATCTTTATGAGATCGAAACATGCAAACAGCGTTAACTCTTGATAGCTTGAATAATAGAAGCCACTGTCCCAGCTAGAGTCAGTAGCAAAAGAGATATGGCAGCTAACGTAGCTGTTGTCGTCCATAGGTCGCTGAAGTAGACTTTTCTGAGTTTCGCCCATATTCTTTTCCTACGAGAATTATGGTGAATGTTGAGTTTCTCGACAATGTCGTGATATTGACTTTGATTTGATAGCAACACTCCTATAGCTAATTTATTCACCATCTTCAGCACCATGCTTGATCGCCCTACACCGTTTGTTAGAACCCCTGTATTCCAGTAACATAGCCAAATATTAAGTTTAATGTATTTCTACAACAACAACAACAAAAGGTTGTTATGATGTTTGTACCTGCTGAAGTGAGTAACGCCACGTCTTCATCTGAGGTAATAAGGAAATTCATGAAATGTATGTAATTTGTAGTGAAGGCATTTTCAGGATCATGGCATTGCTCATATGCAATGACATTTCTAAGGATGATATTAGAAGATTCATCGGCAGGAAAACTCGGCAATATTAAGCAACCTTCCTCGAATGATACATTCAGCGAAAACTCACGATTCACTACCTTAAATTCCACTCCTACACTAGATAGCTTATCCGCGTTCTTCATATCCACGATCTGGCTATTCGAGTCTGTCAACTCTATATTCTGGCCAAGCGATTCCTTGTAAACACACCGGAATAAATCTGTGAAGTGATTGAACTTTGTATTCTCATTGATCATACCACTATCATTGACTGAAAATAATTGGAGGATGACTTGGTCCAGCGTCTGATCTCCACAAAATCTTTTTGTAATGGGGTTTAACAACTTACTTAAACAAAAGTAGGGAAGCTGATTCTCGAGCAAGGTAAGATCATCAAGAACCGTGGAAGTATAAAAAGGTTTGTCCACAATCATGTCACCAATTTTTTCATGACTTTCGTACATTCTGAGAATGAACTCCACGATAAATATTGAATCGTTAAGTATAAGCTCCACGAATATATCAGGTAATATCCATGCAGTCGATACCGCATAACTTGCCCGAATATTTACTTCTTCCTCTTTTATGGTGGTCGTCATATCCTCAAGAATTGCAATATCAGTATCTAGCCTTTTGGTGAAAGCGGCTTTGTACAACACCTTTTGGTCCTCCATCATCTTATATTCTAGATACCTAATCAAGCATCTACACATTAATCTCTATTTGTTCACCAAAAAAAAAATAACATTATTATCTTGATTGTATAAGTAATTAATCATTAAACAAAAGATATGAAGTAGGAAAAAAATAGACTAACTATCAATTTCTGCAATGTCTTGGTATAGAAAAAGGCCACAAAAGTAAGGGAAACAAAAATTAGGACTAGAGGATTTTCTAGTTCTCTTCTTTCTTTTTTTCTTTTCTTTTTTTTCCTCATTGACATTGCTCTTTACTTGTTTCTTATGATTCAAAATGATAAAAAGCTACACAGGTCATGCAGGCTATATATGTCTGCGTACCTTGAATCCGTATGAGCTTTAGGTTTCGCGGAATGAGTAAGAGGGCCGATGAGAAGCATCCGAGGTCTATAGGCTTCTGGATTCACTTCACGCAATTGGCTTGGCACTCTGTAGATGCATGGTTCTTGAGATCCCATCTTCGATTGCTTATGAGCTTTATATTTTTAGCATCAATTATAGTCAAAAATCATCCAAAGAATCCTAAGTTTATAGAGTAACAAACTATATATAAAAAGATTTAAGACTCAAAATTAAGGAAACAAAGCTTACTGTGATACGGATGTACATGAGGCTAGAAGGAGGATTTAAGTCACTTACAATTAAGAAGGATGTGGATCTTAAAACAAAGAGAGAATTTGGGATTAGAAAATGACAATTTGGAATTAGAAAAGAAAAAATACACAGGAGAGTGCGCTAGTTATATTATTATGTATTATTATTATACTTACATAAGAAAACAGAAGCGTGAGTTGTCAATCGGTTCACTAAATTATTTTATAAGTGAATTAGGTTATGAACTACGTGTTTAGTTTATATATTTTGCTGGAAAATATTTACATAATTAATGATAGTCTTAAAAATATTATAGTTTATTTTATTTTTAATATGAATTCGCAAAACTTTATCGTAAGTCTAAAATAAAAATTGGTTAGTAATGATTAAAGTTTTATATATGATATCTTGGTCATGATATCACCATCATGGCAAGCAGCTCAATTAGAGCTCCAAGAAGATAATCATGGTGTTGTGAGTTCGACAACTCTGTTCCGAGTGAGGGAGGTTTCTTTTGATTCAAACTTTTCAGGATATCGTTGTTTCGTGGATGGATCGTAGAAAGAAAGTGATAAGTTCTCCGGTACAGGGTGGTTCTGTACATCGTCAAATGGAGAGCCGCCAACCATGGGAGCTGCGAACCTCCGTAGAAGTCTATCTCCACTACATGCCGAAGTCGAGGCCCTTCTCTGGGCGATGAAGTGTATGATTGGTGCAGATCATCAAGATGTAGCGTTCTTTACAGACTGTTCAGACCTGGTGAAGATAGTGTCTTCTCCAACCGAATGGCCGGCGTTTTCAGTGTATTTGGAGGAATTTCAGAGCGACAAGGAGGAGTTTTCATCTTTTTCTTTATCTTTAATTTCTCGTCGAGCTAATGTCAAAGCGGATAATCTGGCACGAAAAGTTCGTACAGAACCGCTTCATATCACATATGTAAACAACAGTCCTCAGGAATGGTTCTTTTGAATTTTATTTAATTTCGGATGAAAAAAAAAAAAAAAAAAAAAAGATATCACCATCAAAAGCATCTATTTAAGAATCAGAAGTGCCCTCCAAAACTCAAATATTTTATATGGCAAGTTCTGTCAGAGTGTGTCTTGGTTAACTTTTATTTTTTTTATAAATTTGTAAATATCATATGGAATGAAATGTTTAGACTATACAAAAAATTAGACCTTTACCTTACTACCTTGCCAAAATCTATATATAATTGCAATCTAATAAATACCATTCGCACATCTGAACGGTTGCGTCTTTTTATCGCAACCTTACGTTTAAATCGGTTATTTTTTTTACGATTATGTCTTTTTATTATTTCTCTTTGAATTTTCGTTGAATTATCTACGGTTATATTTGTTCAATTTATAGTTATATCTTTTCAGTTTACAGTTATATATTTATAGTTGCATTTATTCATTTAAAGTTACGTCTTTCCATTATATAATTTCATTGCATTTTTTGTATAGTTAGTAATACTACGAAGTTTTTTTACATCAACCACTAGATTTTAACCCGCGGTACACCGCGGGATGATTTAATTTTAAAGTTAGTATAAAAATATTTTGTAAATTGTATCTCCTTATAACATATTTATTTATATTATAGTTTACAATTGTTATTAAGTAACGGTATACCACGAATCCACGAGATAATTATTAATAAACTGAGGATTTAACCTGTATTAAAGAGGTATATAAATATTGATTCAAATTCGTCCGCCATATAAATCATTTCCGAAATATAACCCGTTCCGTAATTTCTTAACCCGTCCTGTGATTTGTATTAAAAAAATAAGGATTAAATCCGTATTGAAGCGGCGGATTAATGATATTTTAATCTTTTTATTATTGTTGATTCAAAAACCCATCCCGCCAAACCCATCCCGCCAAAAAACTCATTTATTTGATTAATGTTCTTATTTATGATATGATTCTGAATCATTGTCTAAATATTTTAATCGATGTAGAACGTTGAACACACATTTTCGTCAATTGGATAATATATGTCCGTTTTTAAAATTTCGAATCACAGTATATGCAGAAAAAAAATTGATTTTTTTTTTTTACTATGTATTATATGATGATTCAAAACAGTTAAAAACAAATCAAACAAAGATGATAGGAGAATCATAATTATAAATCTTAATCAAATCTTCTAAAAATCTAAATTATTAAATATGGAATATCCGGTGTATGAGTTGGGTTAAATATAACCCGACCCAACAAATTTTTTGTGAATGAATTTTTAAAATGGGTCGGATATCCGATATACCCGAAAGCTTTTTTACCCACCCGTCACAAAAAGTGCTGCGATTATACTAGTATAGGTTAGACTACATATCAAATTGGTTTTATTAACCAAAATAACAACCTCAATAAATGCATTTTGCACTTCTGAACGGTTGTGTCTCTTTATCGTAACTTTCTGTTAAAATATTAACGGTTATTTTTTCGGGTGTGTTTTTTATCGCAACTCTTCATTAAAATATTGACGGTTTTTTTTTCGGCTGTATCTTTTTATTGCAACTTTCCGTTAAAATATTGGTTGTTACTTTATTCGTTTGTGTCTTTTTATCGCAGCTTTCCGTTAAAATATAGACGGTTATTTTTTCTCGGTTGTGTCTTTTTATCGCAACTTTCCGTTAAAATGTTGACGGTTATTTTTTCTCGGTTGTGTGTTTTTATCGCAACTCTTCGTTAAAATATTGACGGTTACATTTTTCGTTGACAGTTATTTTTTCAGATTTGTCTTTTTATCATAACTTTTCGTAAAAATGTTGACATTTACTTTTTTTTGTTGTGTCTTTTTATCGCAACTTTTCGTCAAAATATTGACGGTTATTTTTTCTCGGTTGTGTTTTTTATCGCAACTTTTCGTTAAAATATCGATGGTTATTTTTTCTCGGTTATGTCTTTTTATCGCAACTCTTCGTTAAAATATTGACGGTTACTTTTTGTGTTGACGGTTATTTTTCTGGTTGTGTTTTTATATCTTTTTGGTTTTGACCCGCTAGAATTTTTCCTCTCTATATTATAACTCTTCGTTAGTTATTTTGTCACTTATAAATAATTTTATATTCACAAAAAAATGTTTCAAAAGTGTTTTTTAATCATAATTTTTTTTTTTACATTTTTATTCATAATTTTTTTTTAATATCTTTAGAAAATATTTACGATATAACTTTAAGACTAATACATAAATGTAATAAAATATATTTGTTGAAAATGAGTTCTCCCGCGATATCGCGGGGTTCATAACCTAGTATAAATAAAAAACAAGGGAATAAAAAACATGAGAGTTAATTTAATCTAAGGAGAAAATGTATTACTTACAATTAATCAAGTTGTCTTCGAATGCCCTTTTTCATGTACCAACGGTTCCTGAAAATTTACCAAGGACCTTAGTTTTTGTCTAGTTTGGACTTTCTTTTTAGGAGAATCCCGAAGGATATCTACAATAATATTTCCCCATCAATAATATGGTCAACTTGGAAAGAAAGATTTGACAAAGTCTTAAAAATGTGGATAGAGATCTTCAAGAAATTCTTAAAAAAAAAAGCTAAATCAGAGGCCAATATATTCATGGGATAGGACACAAGCCAAAGGCCATATATATATTGGATTAACAATACGCTATTCATTTATCGGGGAACTGGGTGTCATTGTTAAATTGATGTCTCTTGGAAAAAGTTTGAAGCTCGAATTATACGAAGAAGCCTCTCTCCACTATATTCCGAATTAGATGGCATTCATTTAAGCTATTCATTGTTCGATTGATCAACATAAGACGACAGTAGCATTTGCAACTGTTGCAAATTGCTGAAGGTGTTGTCCACACTAACAAACTCACATGCTTTCTCTTTATTTTTGGAGGTGTTCGCGAGGAGTAAGAAGATTTTTTTCTTATTTTTCCATCTCGTTTATTTCACATAGTATAATTTAATTTCACTACAAAATATATATATACATAGTTTACTTAGTTTTCTATATATTGTTGCCATATTACCATTTAGAATTCATGTTCCTATCGTCATATAATACCACTTTTTCATTCTTTTCGTCAAAACAACTTTATATTGAATTCGTGAAATCGAAAGACAATTGTTTTTCAAACAATGTTGGCGGATGTCAAGAACCAGAGTAGTAAATAAAATCATTATAACCAAATTTTGCTAAAGAATGAGTCGCTTCGTTACAAGTTCTTTTTACAAATAGAAACCGGATATCAGAAAATTTAGAAGCCCAAAAAATTTTAAAACTCTTGTAAAAACAAAAGCTTTCAAAATCAAAACCAATCACTCCCTATGTTTTGAAGCAAATTTGTTAGTAAAACATCATTTCTTGTGCTATGAACAATGTTGATGAGAGTTTCGCAATCCTTTTAAAAAAACTGATTTAAAACCATGAATCTAAATTTGTTGTGTAAAGAAGCCTTTAAAAACGCCTTAGTGAGAAAAAGGGCTCTCTCTCTTCTCTCTAAAAGTAGACCTTTTCAGATCCGGGTCAAGATCTGAAAAGGTCTACTTTTGCTTTATCGGAGCTTCGTCGAGTGAATCTCGATGTTACCGATGTCAGCATAGTTTCGATGGTTCCAAAGCTTCTTCAACGAAGCCCCATCAAGCTGGAGTTTGAAAGTAGATGGTTTAATTTCATAAGTCTTTTAAACACTAATTATGCGAGGACGAGTAGTTCCGAATATTCCGGTGGTTATGGCGTTTTCCATCATCATCAACAAAAATCAGTTCTCGGAGAAGAAGTAATTGGGTTGTGATATGCTTCCCAGTGGAAGTAATTAAGGGTTCATTTTTAAAGTTTCGTTTGCTGAATTTGTATCAATTGTGGCTTTGTGCTTTAAATTGGCTGTTTGCTTCTGTCATTTTAGTTTATGCTTTGGATCCGGGGAATTTGTTTTTCCGCCGGCTAACACTCCGGAGATTTCAACGTTTTCTCTGATATGTATACTGTCGTCTAGACTTAGTCAACACGACCCTCCGTTCGTGCTAGCTTTAAGATTATGGTATCAGAGCCAGATATCTCGAGAAGAACTACTACGAAAACTGCCAGAGTCATGGGTAACAAGCTATGAGAAGATACATCAAGCATCTCAAGCACCGATTCAGTCATCTGACGTAAGCTTTC